AACCCACCTGCCCTGACGGTTCTGACAAAGAACTAGATCGTGTAACAGAAAAGGTGAAATGAGAAATCAAATCCTCTAATCATAGGAGCAAAAGAAGCTTGTCAGTGATAGGCTTAAAAGGTCCTACTTCCCTTAATAAATCTGGACTGTGGATTATTAAGTATAGTCATTAGTGCTGGCCAACAAATATTTTGGATTGTCTTCCCAGGTGCATGGTAGAAATGCACTTCCCTGGCCCCATGAAGTTAGAGAAGGTCATGTGACTTGCTTTAGCCAATGAAGTGTGAGTGAAAGCGCAGTGCACAATTCACTAAGTTCCCTTTGTCTTGGCTTTGGCCACCATGGAAGCACAGAGATGGAGCATCCCTCAACAAAAACAACAGAACAAAATCCCTCAGGTGACCTATGATGGACATGGAGCAAAAGTGAGAAATAGGGGCGCCTGTGTGGCTCAGTTGGTTAAGCATCTGACTCTTGATAACAGCACAAGTCATGATCTCAGGGTAATGAGACTGAGCCCCGCATCAAGCTCCACGCTTAGAGGAGTCTGCTTCTCTCCCTCTCCCTGCCCCTCCCCGAGCACTCTCTCTCTCTCTCAAATAAATAAATAAATCTTAAAAAAAAAAAAAAAAGGGCGAGAAATAAACCACCTTCTTTGATGTCACTGAAATTTTGTTTGTTATTGGTACCACAGCAGACCCTAGCCTATCCTGGCTGATTCTGTATTACTGACACAGAAACTAAAATACTCAGAGCTCATGTCCTCTGGACCCACTGATCATAGCTTTGACATTATTTCTCTTCTCCATGCTTCCAATCTGTAAGGTGGGAAGTCATCTTTGGGTAGGCATACACCTGTTACACCAAGCAGCTCAGGTAAGCCCCACCTGCCAACAATGGGGTAGATGTGTTATCTGTCTACACAGTGATGCTCTCAAGGAAGCCACCATGGAGACTGGTTTGGTTTTTTTTTTCCCCACACAAGAAGGAGCCCAAGATTATTTGACTAAAATACATCTAAGATTGGCACCACAGCACAGAGAACAATGGGTATCTGGAGGAGATTTAAGGATGAAAGGAAGAATCTAGGAGTAATTTAGGAGGGATGAAAATAGCAAGTTGTCTAAATCAGTGTTTGTTTTTTTAAGATTTTATTTATTTATTTATTTGACAGAGAGAGAGACACAGCAAGAGAGGGAACACAAGCAGGGGGAGTGGGAGAGGGAGAAGCAGGCCTCCTGCAGAGCAAGGAGCCTGATGTAGGGCTCGATCCCAGGACCCTGGGACCATGACCTGAGCCGAAGGCAGACACCTAACGACTGAGCCACCCAGGTGCCCCTAAATCAGTGGTTTTTAAACTTTACCTGAATTAGAACCACTTGAAGCCTTTAAAATACAGGCTACGGAGTGCTACCTCCAGAGTCTCTGATTTAGTAGGTCTGGGATGGGGTTCAAGAATCTGCATTTCTAAGAGGTTCCCAGGTGATGCTGGCTCAGAGACCACACTGAAAACCACTGCTATGGAAGGATTCACTTCAAGAACCTCAGGTGGAGGCTCTGGCAAGAGGAGTCCATGTGGCCTCAACAGATACTCAGAGAAGAAAAAGAAAGCCTGTTTTCCACCCACCACATTAATCGGAGAGCTGATGTGTAAAGGACACAAGAATGGCTATCTCGGTCTTTTTTCCTCACCAAGTAACACACTACACAACAAAATTAAGCTCCTCTAAGGGAACAAAACAGGAATCTTATCTGTTGGCACTTTTTAAAGATTTTATTTATTTATCTGAAACAGCGAGAGAATGAGAGAAAGAGAGAGAGAGAGCATGCAGAGGGAGAGTGAGAGGGAGAAGCAGACTCCCCGCTGAGCAGACAGCCCCATATGGGGCTCGATCCCAGGACCCCGAGATCATGACCCAAGCCAAAGGCAGACACTTAATCAACTGAGCCACCCAGGTGCCCGTTGTTGGCACATTTTAAAAAAAACTGGGGTTCTGTGAGGTGAAATCGTGCCTCACACACCCTCCAAAGTTCCACCAGGGGTAAATCTGGGTATATTTCAGGAGGAAGCAATTTAGATAACTGGCTGCAACTCCCTCTCCAACCTTATCTCCTCACTCCCCTTTGCAAACCTCGGCTGTAAGTCAGTCCCTCTTGGCCTCTGACCCCACCAAGGCTAGTCACACTTCCCTCAGCTGTGCATGACCCACGCACGCACATGCACACTTATCATCACTTATCTAAATCCCCCCTTCCTCCAATTTAGGGCCAGACACTTCAAGAAAGTCTTCCCTCTCTTTCATCCCCATCACCGCCAATCAATTATCAAGTCCTGTCAATTTTACCTCCCAAGTCCAGTTTTACCTCCAGAGTCCACCTGGTGTGTCTCATTTTTCATTCTAACTCAACTGGTATAGATCCCCCATGCTCTACCCTCTTTCTCCTCTAGGTCATTGCCCAGGTTGGGACTGTGAGTGGACAGGTCTCAATTTAAGCAGCATCCCTTCCCCGGATGGAGAGGCCTCCCACAATCCCTAAGCCAGGTTAGAACCCTCTTTTATCAACTCCCATTGAACCCTAGGTGTTTTCTACCAAGAATATTTATCACATTTGTGATCTCTTGTTTATTTGTCTTCCCTACTCTACCATCAACTCTTCATAGATAGGACTACATTGGTCTTGCTTGCTGCTATAAGTGCAGAGTCTGGCACAGCCCCTGACACAATAGAGGCACTTAGTATTTAAAGAGTAAATGCAGGGATCACCACATCAGTTCATAGGAATCCTCCCCTCCTCTCAATGCCTAAAGCACATTCTGCCTGCTTCAAGGAATGTCTGGTCACCCGACATTGCACCCACCACCTGAGACAAGCCAGCAGTCCTTATGACATCGAGAAAATGTGATCTAGAGGGGAAAAGTGACCCTTGAAAAGAAAGTTTTGTCTTGGAAACTGGATGGAACTGAGATTAGCTACAGAGATATTTTGGGAGGATAAAAGAGGCTACCTTCTCAGAAGTAGCCAGGGACAAAGTCTTTTTTTTTTTCCCCTTTAAAATTTTTATTGTTATGTTAATCACCATACATTACATCATTAGTTTTTGATGTAGTGTTCCATGATTCATTGTTTGTGCATAACACCCAGTGCTCCACGCAGAACGTGCCCTCTTTAATACCCGTCACCAGGCTAACCCATCCCCCCCACCCAGGGACAAAGTCTTAATAGCAAGGGAAAGGAGGTGTGTATAAGACAAGGGTGTTTAGTGATGGGAAGTCTGAATTTCTCTAGAAGCTTTTATTAAAGTCGGTAATTTCCCAAACTAGGTGTTCTAATGGATTCTCCATCCAGACCTTTAAAAATGACAGGCAGCCATGTCTCTAGGATGCCTTAGGAAGGGGGCTAAACTCTCTGACCTCCCAAGAGCTTCTGACCTTCAGGATTCTTTAAACATGCTCATTCCAAGTTGGAATGTGGAGAATCCACATTCTGGCTCTGTCTTTACATAGCAGTTCTGTCTCAATGTAGGAGACAAGACAATCTTTACCTCCCATCTACTTTCTAATAGTACTGATGCTTTCAAAGTCAGACCCCCAACCCCAGTCTGGCATCATGACCCATGGGCCATGAGCATCCAAAGAATTTAGCAAGTAGCCTCTCACTAGTGGCAAGGGTTAGCCCTGACTGAAGAGATCAAGCAGAAATGACAACCTGGCTTTTTCTACTTCCAGCCACACAACTTTGAAAAAGTGACCTTGCTTCTTTGAGTCTTGGTGTCTTCATCTCTAAAACGGTGATAATGGTCAACTTCTCAGGATTGTTGTGTTACATGAGATATGCATGTAAAACCCCCAGCACAGAGTAAATGGGCAAGGAATGTCAGTATCATCATTACAGATTTCCAGTTTTAAAAGTTCTGAAAGATAATGATTCTAAACTGAAAATACTGTAGGAACAAAATGATGTTTGGAATTTGCTTCAAAATAATCTAGGTGGTAAGGGGGACGCTATAGATGAAAAAATATCAGCCATGTTTTGGAAATTGTTGAAGATGGGAGATGAATACATTAGACTTATTACTTTAGCTCTCTCCTTTTGTATAAGTTTGAAATTTTCCATAATTGAAAGTTTAAAAGTGTAAGTACTAAGGGAGGGAAATGCTATAAAAATACAAATACTGATCATTTATTTTCAGATCATATTTGGTCTAGATGATTGAACAGAAAAATGATATGAAGGGGAGAAAAAGCCAACATCTCTATTAATTTCTCAAACAGAATTATTTACTTCAAACAGAAGTTTCTCAGATGAGCAAAAGGAAACAGCCACTTGCATACATTTCTCTGCCTTCATTTTTGGGAGAAGTACACATCCTGCTTGGGCTGTTTAGGCATTTTTAAGGAGATGAGCCCTGGGTGATAGAACCTACCTCTGAGAGGGGAGGGGGGTGGGAAAAAAAAAAAAGAACCTACCTCTGAGCACCCCAGGGGCTCTGCTGAAATCGGACTGAGGAGCAAGAAAGTCCCCACATCAGAAAAAACAAGCAGAAAGAACTCTAGACGTTCAGGGACAATGGGTGCCACAGCCATCCTCCCTTCGAAGCCATGGCCTTGGACTCTTTATTTGGAGCTTCCTTGGAAGGATGGTTCAGTTTGGTGTGATTTAAGGCCAGTTCAGTCCAGATGAGTGGGTCCTCTTAAGAGTACAGGTAGTGTGCTAGATGATACTGTGGGGAGGGGGGTCATTCAGGGGAAAGGAAGTTTGCAAGAGGCTCTGACAGTACCAATCACGGCACAAACCTGTGTCATCTCCACACTTCCGCATCTTCCCATTGAGAGAAGTCCAGGGATTGAAAAACAAAATTTTTGTATTCCACTTTGAATCAACCAACCCACTCCAAGTCCCTCTATCGAGGAGAGAAAATAGTCCAACAAGCTGTTTTGAGCCAACGCCTTTAAGCTCCCAAACTCTGCTTGGAAAAGGAGAACACACAGAAGTACTTACTCTTCTTGAAGAATAAATTCGCTATTTTCTGGAGAAAACTGCCCACTCACAGGATGCCTGAATGCTGTGGTCTGTTGGTTATGGCTAAGGAGACAGAGAGAGAGAGAGATAATGAATGAGAAGTCATGCGAATGGAAAGGGTTGCAGACACAACAACAGGTCAGTAATGTCTGAGGACCCCTGATCATCACACATTCCTCCCAGGGTGAGAGAGTGGGCCTTTTCTTCAGAGACGCATTTCATCTGTCAGGACCCAGCTGCATTTAAAAAAACAAGAACTTTCAGCTCAGGTGCCCAAGCCCACCTAAGACACAGGGATTTTAATTCTAGGAAAGTCTTGGCTGCAAGAGAACACTGCATCTTCGAGACATTCCATGAAGTACAGACAGACCGAACCACTCAGCAACAAGTTACTTTAAGATGGCATGAGCTAAAACAAGAATGAAGCAAAGCAGACAGCACTTTCAACAGCTTCCCAAAACCATGAACTAGGGAAAGAATTCCAAGAATTAACCACCCACCCAGAAAAATCTATCTTCTTAAAATTCTTCTCCCTACTACAGAATGCCTTCACTTCAGTGATGGGATATAAATGTATGGGCATGTCTCGGCAACACGACCTGCACAATTTCAACACTGTGGAGTTTCTATCATCCTTTTGAAGTTAGGAGGGAACAGCTTCCATGCCAAGCTGACAGACACAACCAAAATGTGTAGGTGTTTTGTGTATTCACAAAGGCTGCCTGGTTCTTTGACAGAAACGAGGAGAGGGCTCTAGAGGCTGCTGGTTTGCCCGATGAATAAACTAACCTGACATCCTTTCCCCCCCGCCAAAGAATATGATTTTATATTAAAGTGTTTTCCCCCAAACAAAAAATCAGTCCTTTTAGAAATTTTAGAAAAAAAGTCACCCATGATCTCACCACTTACAGATATACCTGAGTATCTTCTCCTTCCCTAGTTTTTTTCCCTTCTACTAAAAAATTGATTTTGCTGTATTTAGAAATCTGTCTCCTGCCTTTTTCACATTCTACTCCTCTAGAAAATTTCCTACGTCCTTAAGACTTCATCATTTGAAATAGCTGAATCCATGTGTCCCCCGCTTTTTGGAAGTTCACGTTACGCCACTTCATTTTTAGGAAAGACCTACATTAGTACCTGTTTTCACTAACTGAAAGAAATCTGAAGAGAATTTTTGCTCTCACCAAAAAAACACAAGTTGTAAAGCAAAAATCGCATCCAGCGTTTGTTTTGCAGGTAGCCCTCACTGAGGCAACGCAACCCAGAGCAGTGAGTGGCGCCACCAAGCTCCCTACCTGGGAACTACACAAGCATCTCAGCATCAGGCTGCCATAGCTTTGAACTGTGTGTGTCTGGGAGCAACTGTGTTTTGTCTCGATTTATTTTGTGCATCTATTAACAAAACATGTCCTAAGATATCAGAAAAGCCTAAGAGGTTATTTTGGGGGTCTGGGAGTGCTCAAAAATTTTTCCATATAAATTACAGTAATCTCTGCCTTGCCTTACATCATTCTGTCTTACAAAAGTTTTCATAAGAATGTTCTACTTCCAAGCCAAACTGTGAAAAGAGCCAAGACGTCCGTCGACAGATGAATGGATAAAGAAGATGTGGTATATATATACAATGGAATATTATGCAGCCATCAAAAGGAATGAAATCTTGCCATTTGCAACGACGTGGCTAGAACTGGAGAGTGTTATGCTGAGCGAAATAAGTCAATCAGAGAAAGACATGTATCATACGACCTCACTGATATGAGGAATTCTTAATCTCAGGAAACAAACTGAGGGTTGCTGGAGTGGTGGGGGTGGGAGGGATGGGGTGGCTGGGTGATAGACATTGGGGAGGGTATGTGCTATGGTGAGCGCTGTGAATTGTGCAAGACTGTTGAATCACAGACCTGTACCTCTGAAACAAATAATACACTATATGTTAAAAAAAAAAAAGAAGATAATAGGAAGGGAAAAATGAATGGGGGATTTTGGAGGGGGAGACGAGGCATGAGAGACGATGGACTCTGAAAAACAGACTGAGGGTTCTAGAGGGGAGGGGGGTGGGAGGATGGGTTAGCCTGGTGATGGGTATTAAAGAGGGCACATTCTGCATAGAGCACTGGGTGTTATGCACAAACAATGAATCATGGAACACTACATCAAAAACTAATGATGTAATGTATGGTGATTAACATAACTTAATAATTAAAAAAAAGAATGCTCTACTTCCAGATAGCGGGTGAAACCAGTAAGAGTTTTATCCTATGGATGTAAATTTGTCTATAACCATTTAAAAAATGTTCATTGGCCATCTGTGTGCCAGGCACTGCTTTAGGTGCTGGAGATACAGAGTGAACAAAAGTCCTTACCCCATGGTGCTTACATTCTAGAAAAGATTTACATTCAAGTAATGCTGGATATTTTAGGTGCATTATACATCTTTTAGTACAGACTCTTCCTGCAATTCAAATTATCTCCTTGGGTTAAGGTCCTAGAGGTAAAATTACTTACTCAAAGGGCACGGTCATTTTTTAAGGCTCCTAATACAGATGGTTAAAATGCTTTCACTGTCAGAGTCACTCTATCATCTCATTTTGCTAGTGTTAAAGTATTAGCCCCATCTCCAAAGCGAGCACAGGGCCACCCCAGAGATTAGTAGGTTTAATGAGTATAGTATAAAGGTTAAAAAAGAAAAAACTCTCTATACCTACAAAGTTTTTCTTACTCTGCCCTGGGGCCTGGCCAGTGTCCTGTGTTCGGGTGGCTGGAGTGAGCTGGCCCTGTGATTGTGCACAACCCCCGCCACCCTTTTACCCCTCCCAACCGCTCCAGCTTCCAAATTCCCAGCTCCAGGTTTGAAGCAAGCCCATGGAATCCCAAGACTCCGTCTGGCAGACAGGGACCTGATCTTCACCGAAAGCAGGGTTAAGGCACGGGCATCTAGATAAGGATGAGAAGCAGGCCCTGGTAACATCTGGTCCAGAAATCCTTGCACCATGTTCAAGGGTTAGACTTTATTTATACCCAGCTTCCGTTTTTTCTTTCTTTCTTTCTTTCTTTCTTTCTTTCTTTTAATACCCAGCTCCTTTTAGAGAGTCACTTCCATTCACCAGGGAATTCTGAAAACACAAACTCTAAGCCTGCCTCATTTCCACCTGTAGAAAAAAAAAATGCCCTGCTCATAATGGGAATAATAATGAAGCAACAACACCACTATCCACTGTTACCTCTCAAGGACTCTACAGTCTACAAAACCTTTCCTTACACCTCTTACTATTATGTAACACTGTCAACCCCCATTTTATGAATGAGGAAATGGCTCAGAGAGGTTAAGTGACTTGCTTAAGATAATGTCATCAATAAGTGATAAGACTGGGACATAAATCCTAGTCTTCTATTTGTAGATTCGATGCTCTTTTTGCATGATAACCTGCTGTCCCCTTTGCTTAGGATCTATGGGGCTCACAGGTTCCTGGCCACGACCAGAAATCCCTAAAGACAAAGCATCAGAAAAACAGCACCATCAGCATCCACTGCTACTCCCTCTCTCTCTTCCTCTGCACCTCCCTCCTTCTGTTGTGCCCAGAACCAAAGTTCTGAATGACAGCACCTGTGTGGCACTCAATAGCCCCCAAACAACTGTTGGTCCTAATCCAAGGTCAGCTAGGAGGATCTCTGATATGTGCAAAGAGCGAATCTTCTATATGCCTGGAGCAGCATCCAGCATCCAGCAACCACTTCATATACACTGTATGACCTTGACAGCAACTCCTGGGCTCACCACACCCAACTTATACCAGCTTAAATAAGCCTAGAGTTTTGGGTAAATGAATCCTGAGCTGAAAGGTTTAGACACTAAGATGAAGTTTACATTCTAACATTAGAAGATACATAGATTTTTAAAGCGGACAAAAATATAGCTGTTCTTTGATCAGATCTAGAGGCAGGTCCCCAACCTTTCTTCCCTAATATAGATGCTGCCCTTTTTGCCAAAAAATAGTGGGGGTTTTTTGCCAAAAAATATCACCATTACCATTTCCTGAATTTCCATGAAGCTTTAAGTATGGTCATATTCATCACTGTATCTGACCCTCCCAAGTATCCTCTGAGATAAGCAGGGCTGTTATTTTTATTCCCATGTTACACATAAGGAAACTGACGATCTGGATTATATGATGTTACTGGAACACTAAATAAAGGGGGGAAAAAGGGACTCATACATTGAGAAAAGAGATAAGCCAGAATAATACCTCCTGAATACTGAGGTCTTAAAACATGATTATTTCTGATCAAGCTTGCCCAGCGTGCAGAGTTTCTGGTTCAGCCCTTTTTGAGCAAAAGAAGTGTTAGGTACTTGGGTTATTTAATTCAGGCTTCCCAAATACCCAGTATGGCAGGCTGTGTTTCATCACACCAGACCACAGGTTAGGAAAGTGAGACCCAGGAAGGGTAGGTGACTTGTCCACAATGACAGTTGACTTCTGCATTCCTGCATTCCACCACCCTTCTGGTCTCCTTCTACTACTAACCCAAGTTCACCCTCATCAAACAAAGGCTGCATAGTAAATGCTGGAACCCCACACCCATTTGGAGATTGCAAAGTCCTCTGACTTTACCTGGTATTCCCGACCTCAGCCCTAAAGCCCCCACCCTGCTCCATTTCCTGATTTTCTGAAATCCATGAAGAATCTCATGTCCTATCACCGTGTCTCAAGACACATTTAGCATGCACAGACAAATCCCCTGAAATACCTGTTCTTAAACCTGAATCGCCACCTTGCTCCTTGGTGGTGATGGAGATGGCCTGGCTGGGAGCACAGAAACGCTCTTTCCTCCATACAAGGGCTTCTGTCTCTCTTCAGGCTACTGAGAAAGTAACTTGGCAAATGAGGTAAAACACAAGCTAGGCTTTATTTTCAGATCCTGCTCTTCCTCCTAAGAACAGCCCCTCTAAGTTGAATGGCAGCCAATCTCACCTGGGAGAGGACTAGGGCACACAGAAGGTTACAGGGAAGGATTATCCCCCTGAAAGCGGGCCATACATAACCATCCACATAAATAAGCACGTC